TCATATACATATATATATATATATCATACAATATAAAATATGTATTGATGTGCTCTCTTTAGCAGTTTTGTGCTCTATGTATTTGTAAGGTTGATTTTATCTTTTATATTTCGTGTACTGATATATGAATGTTTATACTGATATATGAATGTTTATGTTCATGATTAGATATACTTGTAAAAACGAGCATTTCTACTCTGAAGCTTAACCGCTAAAAACAATTGTACTGTACATAATTATACTTAAACTCTTCGAAAGTACGCTGAATATACTTCACACTTACCGTATCATTTTATGGGGTGTTGCTGAGTTATGTGCAACCATTGTCCATCCAGCTCTCCATCTTCGTTCACTTACGAAGCTTATGTTTCCCGCTATGCTCACAACGAATATATAGTGAATTGTATTATTCTTATCTGGTGAAATGAATCGTATTCGTATTGTAGGTAGGATGGCTGAAGCAAGAGTTTGGAGGCTTCCTGATTGAGAAGCAACGCGATGCTATCTACGAGATACCAATACAGAACGCTCGTTTTAACGGCTACATCCAAGCGTATGTGCCTGCTATGTTCCGAATTGTACACATTGTTCGCCTGGTTGCGACGAATGCCTTAATTACATGCCTGCATGTCGTGTGGTTTCCCGTATGTAGTTTCTTGTTCGCGTCACTTTATAGACAGTGTGTGGGGACATACAACTGTTTCATTTAGTGGGCTGGCGTATAAAAAGAACAACACCCTTTGGAGATACCGGAATAGCTTGTTTACATCCTATTGGATCAGTTAATGGCACACGTCGCATATCTACCACACGTTGGATTGGGGGTTTCATCTACTTCCAACATCTCAGGCCTCGTTTTGTCTGTCTCAACGTCGCTTAACGGCACAATTCATCTCTTGTTAACATCACAATTGATTTCTTGTTGACATCACGATTCATCTCTTATAGGACTCTACCTCAGGGGTTTCCTGAGAGTTATCCGCCCTTCTTCCAGGCTTTTCCATCGGTAGGTTCGATTTGTTCTCTAATCGTGTATCTATAAGCGGCTGCGCCACGGAAACAAAGCTGTCTGTAAAATGTTTGAATGTATATCTGAATAGCAAATATAATTTGTATCATGCCCATTACGTTGCCATGAGAATGAGTTTACCATCTGACGAGCCTATGAGCTTTAAGCGAAGCTACAAGGCAATAGCTTTTCCACAGCCCGGACACCTGTTATGT